AAATTTATTAACACAGAAGTATACCATGCTTGGGGAAGTTAGATTTAATATCATAAAGATGTCAATTCTCTCCAAACAGATCTACAGATTTAATGTAGTTCCAATCAAAAACCCAATAAAGTCCTTCAAGAAAATTTGTAAGCTAATTCTAAGATTTATAGTGAAGAGTAAAGGGACCAAAAAACTAGGACATGATACATTCATATGTCAAAACCATCAAATTGTACTTTGTAAATATGCACGGTTTACTGTACAATTATATTTCGATAAAGCTGTAATGGGGAAAGAAAGCAAAAAAGAACAATCATGACACTTTTAGAAAAAAAGAGCAGGGTGACTTGCCCTATGAGGTATTGGGACTCATTATGAAGCTATAGTAATCAGGAAAGCATAGAATGGCACATACATGGGTAAACTAACACAGTAATAGAGCAGAGCCCAAGCGAAGGACTTAAGATGCCTCTCAAAGTTGCCTCTCTTGTGTTTCGGCCATGAGAAACACTCCCAAATCAGCTGCTTGAGGATGAGAGATGTGTGGACCCAGTGGAGTAGCCCCAACCATCCCAACCGAGACCAGCCAAACTCCAAATACGTGACAGACCCCGGCCTAAATGCACAGAGCTGTTCAGTGCACCACCCTACCCTCAGGAGTACCATGCCACTTGCTGTATGCCACCCAGGTTCTGTGCTTGGCTGTAGATGCATCATGTCTGGGGCAACGGAGAACTGATGGTAGGTTTGTGATGTTCATTCACTATCAAAATAACCTAATAAAGGTGAGTTTTTGGATGGACCAGAAATGAGAGGCAAGAGACTCAACAGCTTAATCCCTTGAGTGCTTATTGAACAACCACCAAATGCATGTCCTTGGTGGGAAGTTGAGAACCAATATGGACAAAACTACTTCCTTGGCCCCTAAGAGATGGCAAGCAGATAAGAAAAATAATTTAAATAATATTTTGACAAACAAGGGCTGAACATTCTAATTCCGATTCATCCAATAACTTCCAATGTGCCTATTTACATGTATTTTTTTTTTTTTCCTTTTTTTCTCTTTTTTCGTGACCGGCAACGGATCGCAACCCTCAGTTTCGCGCCCGCACCGGACCGGGACCGGCAATGGGATCGCAGCCCTCGGTGTTGCGCCCGCACCTCGCTCAGCCNTGGGGTGGGGAAAGGGGGAGTTGTCAATCAAAGGGCACGAGGCTTCAGATAGACAGGGACTTGGGAATGTTAATCAAAGGGCACAAAGTTTCAGATACATAGGCAGAATAGATTTTGAGATTTATTGCACATCAGGGTGACTATAGTTAACAATAATGTCAAAATAACAAAGGGAGTAAATTTCAAATGTCTCACCATAAAAAATGATAGGTAAGCCAGGTGATGTATATGTTCATTACCTTAATTTTGTCATACATGTATCAGAACATCTCATGTACCCCATAAATGTACAATTTATGAATTAAAATTTAAAAAAAGAAAAAAAGGTGGGGGCGGGGAGAGAGGAAGATGCAACATGCTTCCACTATCAGGCAACTGCTGGGCTGTTTCTAGATAGGGGAGAATGTCGGGCCTTAAAAAGTAATGCCACCTTAAGTGACATTACAAGTAGTGCCATTATGGGCCCACAAGGGCATATTCACGTGGCAGCCTAAGATGGCGCTGGGAGGAAGCAGGGTGGGGGTGTCTGCGGGAACCTTGCCTAAGCCCTTATTGGCCAAATACATGCTTCTGCGCTTGTGAACACAATAGCTAGGCATTGAGGCAGGATGCATACCCTTGACCTTTAAGCTGATAGGATTATGTAAAGCTAGGCATTGAGACAGGATACATGCCCTTGAAGCTGACTGGATTATGTTAAAACCTCCCCTCCCTCTCTGCCTATAAAAGCAAGTGCTTGTGTGATAATAAACGGAACTGCCTCGACAGAGCTCCCACTGCGTCTGAGTGTCCTTTAACTGGGCTGGCTTGGGGCCGGTGGTGTGCTCACCTCTCTCCAGGGCTCTCTTCCCCCGTCTCCTTCTAAAGGGGACAGGAGGGAAAGAGTAATCCTGGCCGTTTGCTCGCCCACTGAAAGGAACGAGGCTAGGGCTGTACTGGTCCGCAGGCGGCGGACCTGACAGGAGAAGATGAAGTTCTAGAGCCAAGCCGGCAATCCCAACATTTCCTGTCTCCTTCTGATCTAGTTCGGCGACAGCCCCCGGCGTCCCAGCGGCCGAGATGCCTTGGATTCCCAAGCTTCATTTCCGGATACTTAAGACGTGGCCTCGACATCCAGCAGCAGCAGCACGAAATGCGTCAGCCACATCGGCACATTCAGAAAACCCGCTGTCAGAAAGTGCCACCGTGCACACGGAGGGTCTCTTTGCATAACAAATCTGACTATCTGGTGTTACAGAAGGCTGATTTCGCAGCGGGCGGGCGGTCTCCAGGCGAGCCACCGCGTGGCCGCCCAAGTGCACCTTGACAGCCCTGCGAGCACCATGACAGCCTTTAGCGCGTCGTGACAACCCGTGCCGCCGTGAGAGCCTCGAGCGCACCGTGACAGCCCCGCGTGCACCATGACAGCCTTTAGCGCGTCGTGACAGCCCGTGCCGCCGTGACAGCCCCGCGCCGCCGGGACAGCCTGTGCCCCGAGCTCCGCCCGCCAGCTGCGTCACCTTCCAGGCTGCGTCACCTTCCAGGTGCCCAGGCCCAGGCCCGGGATCTTCGCTATGGCTCCTGGCGTCCCAGGCGGGGCCACTCCCTATCGATGCCGTGCAAGCCGCTCA